GGGGGGGAGGCGGAGAGCTGGCCACTCGCGCGTGCCCAGGGGCGCGCGCTGAGATCATGTTTTGGGCAGATAAGCGCGGGCCCAAGCCCTCGCGGCTGCCGACTCTTGTCCTGTGTGCCGGTGGGGCGGCCATCCCCGCGCTGAAGCCCGGGGCCCGTGAAGAATGGTCCCGGAGGGGGGCTGGCCGCGGCATCGTGAGAAGCATGGCCGCGGCACACCGCTACCACGCCCCAAGGGATGGGGACGGGCCGATGTTATTGCCGGCCAGACGGGGGGATCGCGCTCCCGAGGCGCGCAGGCCGCAGGGGGGGGGAGGATGACTCGGCCATGCACCAGGCCGAGAGCCATGCACGCACGCAAGGACAGGGTTGATGGTGGAGCGGGTGACGCGATGGTCGTGAAGGGAATCAAGGACAATGATGAAGGGACTGCGCGCGCGAAAGGGCACGAGTGAGTGGACTGGTCATGGAGCAAAGGGAAGATCTGGATCAAAGAATCGGCCGCAAAGGGGGCGGGGGTCGGGGAGAGCGCGAGCGCTCTCGTACGTGTAGGTATCGGTGTAGCTGGTCAGACAGTGCAGTTCCTCCTCGGAGAGAGTGTCCGGCGGGGATGCCTCACCGGGGACGGCATCCTCGAGGACCAAGTCGAGGCTGCTCTCCTCCGCCGGGTCTGGCGAAGAAGACGAGGCGGTCCCAGGATCGGGCGAGGCCCTTTGCTCGGCCAGCAGGTCCAGTGCCACGGCCGGTCCCCCGGAGTCCGTGGGAAAATCGGGAGAGGCGCCTGGCGGTTTGGCCGGCGAGGTGCGCAGGTGATCGGCAGCCAGGTCGATGGCACGTCGGACCTCGGCCGTTCGTCGGGCGGCTTCCTGGCGGCTGCGAAGCTGCCGGCGGGTGAGCGCAGGCACGGGAACCGGCGCAGGGCGCCCCCGCTGGGGAGGTCCATTCGGGTCAAAATGCGCCAGGTAGTCCGGGCACTCGAGCAGGCGTCCGGGATAGCAGACAACCACTGTCAGCCAGTGAACCCTGATTTGGGTTTCGGCAGGGCCGATGGAGAAAGAGAGGTTGGCCGAAAGGGCGTTTCAGTCGAGGGAGTATGGTTAGCGGGGGAAAGCAGCAGCAGCAGCAGCAAAGCCAACCCCTCCCCCCCGGGACAGTGACAGCCACCACGAGCGCACATATGATTGACCGGAATCACCCAGAAGTCGCGCTGCAGCAGGTCCACCCGGCGGAGACTTTGTGATAGCAGCGTCAAGGGCTGGCCATTTTTCCTGCAAGAAGACCGCGGGCCATGGGCATTGAGAAATAGAGGGCGGTCAGCAATGCGTGACACCAGGGCCGAGAAGGGGGGCGGGGAGGCGTCGGGCCCCGAGGCGGCACGCACAGGAGCTTTGACAGGCGAGTGAAGAAGAAGGTGTTGAAGATGTGCACCGAGGCCGGCGGCGTGGCCGGGGCCCGGGGGATCGATTCGAAAGCCTCGTCATGGGATGACTGAATGGAATCGATGAAGACTTCGGGCAGACGAATGTGGTTCAAGTGCGCCGGAGCCGGCCCCGTGGCGAGACCAGCGGCCAGGGGATAGACATCGTGCGCGAGATACCTTCCGGGGGGAGCCAGGCCGGGCGGGGGGGGGGAGGGGCAGCAATCGAGAAAAGCCCGCCGGCAGACGGTGTCCTGCACGCACTTGAGGTAAAAATCGATGGCCGAATCATTGAGCATTTGATTGGAGGCAATGCGACCGACCTCCTCGATGCCGATCGACACGGCCCCGGACCCGGAGAAGGGGAACCAAAAGAGCGGGCAGAAGGCCGTGGTCGGATGGGCACCAGCCGCCACCGGGGGATGCCAGCTGGCCGATGAGCTGGCCAGCAGGCGACAGGCCCGTTGGGCCACGGCACGGCCAAAGGCCGGGTCCAGCCGCAGCAGACTCGGCGACGCGGCCAGAAGGGCATCGGCCGCGGAAGAATGAGCCCGCCGGGCCGCGGCCGCACTTTCCAGCAGAGACTTGGCATGGGCGTGAATGTCATCCGTGGCATAGGGGTCCGTGAAGGGCTTGCGCCTGGACAGGCGCCGAGCCAGGGCAGCCAGATGCTTGACCACGGTGTTGGCGCTGGCTAGCGCGGCGGCGGCGGCCTCGGCCGCCTCCTTCGGGAAGGCCGTGGCCGGGGCAGTCTCCAGGTCGAAGAGAAGCTGAATGCGCGCCTGGAGCGCGGGCAGCAGGAACCCCAGCCCGGGAATGCTCACCGGGTGGGCATTGCACTGCCGCCGGGAGGCCATCAGTGTGGCAAGGGAAAAGGCCTCGAGTGCCGAGGTGTCGGCCGGGAAATCGTCCAGCAGCTCGGACGATGACGAGGAGGGAGGCTGCCGGCGGACTCGGGCCGAGCGCCGAGTGCCGGAGGGGGCCGCTGGCGGGGGCGGTGGCGGTGGCGGCGGTGACGATGGCGACGGCGGCGATGAACAGTGCGGCGGCGACACCGGGCGCGAGGGGGAAGGCTCCTGCTCGGACGGCGTGGGCTCCTGCGCGCATGGCCCGGTGGGATGGCTGGCTGCTGGGGCCGATGCCCCGGGGTCCGGGCTGCTGGCTGACAGGTCGATCGCGGCGATGGTATGGCCGGCTGGAGCCGGCGTGGCCGGGGCAGATCCGAGCCCAACCACGTCGATGTCCACCGTGGCCGCGCTGGTGGGCGAGGCAGCGGAAGCAGCCTCCGGCGGCTGGGAAAGGGCCATCTGCGAAAAGGCCATGGGAAGCAGGGAAAAAAGGGCAAAGAAAATCATCCCCCGGAAGTCCCGGCTGCCATGGGTCACCGTGGTGGCCGTCAGCAGGGCATGCGCCGGGCCCAGGAGCTCGGCAGCAACGTCCGTCAGCGAGGTGAAGGCCAACGTGCCAGGCCAGCCCTCGGGCAGGGGCCCGCCCCATGGCAGGACCCGGCAAATGGCCTGCACCACAAATGGACAAGTGGGTGCCTCGGCCCCTGGGATGCTGGAGGCCGGGATCCTTTCCTCGGACAGATCGTGCGACAGGTCTTCAAAGGGATCGGCCTGGATGACCGGGGCGGTGGGCGGGGTGTCCGCCTGTGGCGATGGTTGCTGTGGCTGCTGCTGCTGCTGACCGTCGATCTGGCGCTCGTTCGGAGGCACGGGGCCGGAAGAGGGGCCGAGGGTGGCCGGCGGCCCGGGCGAGTCGGTACGCCGGCGTTTGGATCTCGGCTGGAAGAATTCCAGAGGCCGATTGTCGCGAGTACGTATGGTTGGGGGCCGGGGCGCGGAGGCCGGCTCCTCGGATGGGGCATGGAGCCCCGTGAGAGACAATCGCCGGCCTCCGGAGGCGGAAAGGTGAGAGTGAGATGCTCCCCCGGTGTGGGAGGTGAGGGATCGGCCGCGATCATTCCCAGGGCGATGGGCGTGCCGACCACCCAGTGGACCGACCACCGGCGAGGGCACGGACACCGTCGGCCGGGGCAGCTGGGTGGCGGTCATTGAGTGCGTGGTCTCCAGGGAGGCCCGGCTGGGGGCGATCCCCGGGCGCAGGGACCCGGCCGAGGAGAGCATTTGAAGGGTGCGGGACATCTGCTGTGTCGATGGCCGGGGAAGGCCGGGCAAGGGGGTGGCGCTGGCCGGCCGCAGGGGAGGACCGTCAGTGGGCTCGGCCAGCAGGGCCGACGAGTCGAACAGCGGCGCGACCGCGGGGGATGCCTCCCGCAAGGGGCCTCGAGCCGATCGCATGGCCGACTGGCTCATCGGCGAGGGGGGGATGAGCGAGTGCCCGAAGGCCAGACGCCGCGAGGGGGTTGACGGGCTGGCGGGCGGGCTGCCGGTTGATCGGTCAAAAAGAGTTGGCCAGACGCGTGTGCGTGTGTGCGAGGAGCAGGGAGCAGGGGAGGGAGGGGGCGGAGCAGGGCAAGGGAAAGAGCCCCGGGCGCGGGAGGGCTGTTGCGCGTGTCGACATACCCCCATGAGGCGGCCTCCCGCCGAGAGGAGGAGGGAGTCGAGGGACCGGGCCGCCGGCGAGCTCCGGCCGGCGAGGGCGGCGACGGATCGACAGGTGGATCGCCTGTCAGGTCGACGTCATGACCCTTTGAGCATGGGGGGGGGGGGGGGGATGTGCGCGTGAGAGCGGACACGAAAGAAGACAGGCCCAGGAGATGAGGCAGTCAGCAGAGGCGGATCGCGAGGGAAGAGCATGAAGGGCATCGGTGCGTGCGGGAAGTGGCTGCTCACCTCGAGGGCACCCCGGCGCCCGGCATCATCCGACACCCCCGGCTGGTCGGCGCTGCGTGACGACGACGACGACATCGGGCTGGGGGGGGGGAGGGGAGGAGAGGGGGGAGAGGGGCACAAGGAAAGCGGGGAACCAGGGGCAAGGCAGGCGGG